TATTACGTATAAAATGCATGAATCCATGGGCGTACTAGTTAAATTAATAAATGCCAAGTACAACTGATTCGGTCCCTCTTACTCCCAAATAATATAATCTTGATCGTCTGTGATGGCTGTCTTGCATTGGTCTGATAGACATTTAGAGCAGAACAACAAGTGATGAAGTATAAGTGGAAGCAAGATGAACTACCTTTTTTATTCTGTCTGCCATTTTATTGCCGACTATTCCATCACAAATCGTACAGACTATATGTATATATGCAGAAGACACTCAGATTTATTATTCGAAGGAATGATACACTCGTTTTACCTTAAAAAAGGAAATAGCTACTTCGGACAGAATAATGTCTGAAGTGAAGAAGAAGAAGAATAAATTATAAAAAACTTTGATGGAAATGAATGAATGAAACAAAGAATCATTCTTAATGGAAAATGAACGCAGATACCACCTCTAAAACGAGTAATGTTGAAACCATCTTGTAAAAAGGAGCAAAGAAAATAGATTGCGAAAAATGCAATATGTGGTGGCACATATGATTGAAATACAAGGATAATGATAACGTGTTAGAAAACACTATGGAGCCCCTTATTATTACTTCGGACTCCACACTTACAGATGAAGTTTTAATAATAACTCTGTAGAAACATTTATCTATTTTCATGTTGTTGGTACTTCTATATAAGTTTTGATTTACTTGATTTTAGAATAATTTATATCACAAATATTCAACATTGTGTGAAGTGAAATGCGGACTTTATCGGAAACTGTTTATTTTAATTTATCTAAATTATCTAAAATAAGTTTAATGTTATCCATTTTGCGTTATGCTGAGACACATTTAGACGTAAGCTGAATGCATATTTTTACACATTTCTTTAGTTATTATGTCGATTAAATTTGACTATTCAAACTTTTCCCTTGCTCATATCTTTATTCTCTTTCGTGTGCATATTTATAATCCCAATCAACGTATGACAGATATTTTCTCATTCTCTTCATTTATATGCATTAATGAATATTCTCAATTGGTTTCATTTAACATTCATTAACGGAATCAGTATCCTTAGTATAATATTAACATGGTTTTCAATTTTAAGAGGTTTCCATTTGGTTGATTTAATAACAAAATACTGTAGATACCATAGAAAGTTGAAATTGCTTTTCAATCTCCATTTTCCGTTAAAAATGCCACATTTCCACAGTATTATTGCAGATACGGCAGACCCTATCAAATTTTATGTGCGACCTATTACTAGAGATATTTATTAATAAATCCGATTGTAGGGTCCTATACTTCCTACAAGCAAATGAATGTTTTTTGAAACAAGTATTTTTCTTGCGAAAATCTTATTTGGAACCTTTTGGTATGGTTTTGTTATTAGAACTGTCATTTTTAGGCAAGTTATGAAGATACGGAGCAGCATAACGCATAACAAAAGAGAAATATTCTCATTTTGCTTTACATTCGTTGTAAAGCATCTCACCCAATCTTTTTTTTTATCATTTTTATCATTTTTGATCAATATTAACAAGAAAAGTCTTTTACTATGTAATTAAGTTACAAGTTTTGTTTGCCTCAACTATCGATAAAGTGTTTGATTTTGGAACTGCACGTAAAAACAGTTGTCAAATTTCAATATTTCGCATTAGGTTTCCTTTGTTAATTATCTATTACATAAAATAATTGTTTTATTATTAAAAACCTAAACTGGTCGAAACAAGTTTGTGATTAATAAAATCTCCAAAATATCTTAGCTGGAAATATGGAAGTTTTTTAAAAAAATGGACCTCTGTAAGTTTATGCATTGACTAAGCGTGAGGAAAGTATTATTTTTGTCACGGGTTTAGGAGCAATTGGATGCTTTTGTGACATATTTGAAACACTGATGCTTTTTTGATGTTTGTCTCCCTTTTTTTTCATACTCTGCGACAACTATTCGAAATTCCTTATATACTTCGACTTAGGCTTCTGGAATTGAAGAAAATTAGAGAAAAAGTGTGAAACTTGTTATAGTCTGTAGTCTAAAGCAAAGGAATATTCACATATAATAAATAATTCCTGGAGCGCGTCTTGGGATAATGTTTAAAATACTCGTAAATCTCTACTAAATTTAAAAACAGGGTGCGAAGGGTAATATTTAAAGAGGTGTGATCTTTGGCCACTTGATACGCCACTGACATGAATGACGTTACTGAATCACAGTTTATTTTTAAACAAATTTGTTTTCTTTTGGCTAGATTCGACTTTCGCGCTAATTTCTTTCATATTTTTTAACCAAACTCTCAATAACGAAATCACGTAATCATTCCAAAAATATACTTGGTAGTTCATTGTTGTACTTAAAAAAATGGCATCCGGTACGTCAAATATTATGTTTTGGACATGATGTGTAAATTTTTCTTCTTAAAACGCTCACTGTTAAGCTTGCTTAGGCATTTAACATCATCTTGGATTAATTAGTGTTCTAATGTCAGAAATAGTGAGTGAGTTCAGAGTGAATTGGTTTGAAATGAAAGGTCGTACTCCACAAAAGATTTAAATTTATGATGACACCATTCTATCTATGATGATATTTATATACTTTCATCAAGTGGTGTGCCTGGTTTAATACAAAAGTTGTAGAGTTTAGTACGCAGATTTAATGTTACAAATTACTAAGTGTGAGAAAAGAGCAAAGTATATCGATTTTATTGTTGGATAATTCTGGTCTTAACATAAATTTCCTATGCAAAGTAAATCATGTTATTTGTATGCTAGATGATCCATTAAAAATGTCACATAATAAGAATATTTTGGAAAAGATCTAAATTGTTTCGAAAACACCGTGTCTTTATCAAATGTAATATTTCCAAACTAACTGCTACTATATATACCAAAAAATGACAAACCTTAATTTATGTTGTTGTGAGAATTTAAGTTTAATAATGGAGAGGTATTTAAATCTAATTGATTGTTAAGCAATACATTTGAATGTCTCATTTTGTTAATCTCCATGGCTTCCAATAAATTTAATTTTCTACTTTTTGTGACTGTTTGTAAAATATCAAAATTGTAGTCAAAAATGTGTTTTTCTGTGTTTAGGTGTGTAGCATAATTAGAATCTAGACTATTGTTTTTAAACGCTATTTTATGTTCGTTAATACGTTTCTTGAAGGATCTACCTATTGGTCCAATATAAATTTTAGGAAAAGATCCGCATTTCAACCTGTAGACACCTGATTTTTGAGATTTTAGACACTTCGTTTTATTGTTTTTTAATTTTTTTTCTATTGTGTTGTTAGTTCTGAAACCTATTTTTAAACCATATTTTGAAAATGTTTTGAAACTTTTTCACCGGGCTCTCCTACGTATGTAATTGTTTTAAATTGTTCGTGTTCTGTTTGCTTAATGTTTAAGTTCTTTGTTGTAATTTTCTGTTGAGAGTTACATATTAAGAAGAAGTATAAGGGTGATTTGAGCTATTATGTATGACTGTGTCCATGTGTGAAGGTTTATGATAAATTAAAAAATCTAATTTGCTTTGTGTTTTCCTAATAGTTAAGTACAAAAAATTAATAGAATTATCCTGTTCAATCTCGCTAGTGAATTTTATACCATTATGTAACGGGTTAATGTAATTTAAAAAAGAATTTAATTGTCTGTCTGTTCCAACAAAGCAAACAAAGTCATCATCCACGTATCTATACCACCATAGATAACTTTTACTTAAAGGATATTCTAGTATGATATTAATAAATATCATATAATATATATTATTATAAAATATAATAAAATGTCATACTAGAACATCCTTTAAGAAAAAGTGTTCTATGGTGGTATAGATACGTGGATAATATCTTTGCTTGCTTTGTTGGAATGAACAGACAATTGAATTCTTTTCAAAATTACATTAACTCATTACATAATCGTATAAAATTCACTATCGAAATTGAACAGGACAATTCTATTAATTCTTTAGATTTAACTATTACGAAAACGCAAAACAAATTAAATTTTTCCATTTACCATAAACCTTCACATACGGACACAGTCAATACATAACAGTTCCAATTACCCTTCTACACACAAAATGGCTGCATTTCACTCTTTTATACACAGACTTCTTAATACTCCACTCTCAATATAAAATTACAACAAAGAACTTAATATCATTAAACAAATTGCACTGAACAATGGCAATAGTCCATTCATTATCAATAAAATTATAAATAAAAAACAAATCCAGACAACAGTAAACTCTATTTATCCGAAACCTAATACAGAACACGAACAATTTAAAACCATTACATACATAGGAGAACCCAGTGAAAAGGTTTCATAACATTTGTGAAAATTTGGTTTAAAAATAGTTTTCAGAACTAACAGTACAATAGGAAAAACAATAAAACGAAATGTCCAAAATCTCAAAAATTAGGTGTCTACAGGTTGAAATGCGGATCTTATCCTAAAATTTATATTGGAGAAACAGGTAGATCCTTCAAGAAATGCATTAACGAACATAACAGAGAATTTAAAAACAATAGTCTCGATTCTAACACAGAAAAGCACATTTTTGACGACAATTTTGATAATTTACCTACAACCACAAAAAGTAGAATATTTAATTTATTAGAGATTAACAAAAAGAGACATTCAAATGTATTGCTTAACGATCAATTAGATTTAAATACCTCCCCAATATTAAACTTAAATTTTCACAATATTAATTAAGGTTTTATTGTCATTTTTCGGTATGTGTAGTAGCAGGTAGTTTGTAAATATTGCATTTGATAAAGACACGGTGTTGTCCAAAACAATTGTCATATAAAAATATATAATTTCGAGAAAAACTGATCTTTTAGTTCTTATTTATCTCGTCAAACAACCTGAAAATTAGTTTTTTGGCACGGCAATCAAACGAAAATCCCGCTTCTGATCATCTCAAAACAATACCGAGCAATAGGAAACTCCGAATAATATCGACAAAGTTATCAAAACAGACAAACTAGTTCTTACCACAAATCCCACGTCTTCGAAAGGCGAAACTTCGACGTTCTTCTTCAGTCCGATTAAGCCCCCAGGATGTCCGCACGCGATCGCCATGGACGCCGAAAGAAGCAGCAATCTTCCAGAAAATGCACGCGACACGGCCGTCATCCTAACAGGTGGCGAAGTTTTCGCAAAAAGCGGACGGCTGCTGATGAGAACTCCGGATTTAGGAGTCGCGCAGCAAATGGGGAAGTTCTTTTCGACTGCTCTGGTTATATAGCGTCCGGACGCCGACGGGCGCCGACGATGACGCGCAAATTAACCGTTCTTGCGCTACGAAAGAGTATGCACTTTGTCCACAAAGCACTCCGATTTGCCTACAGTGTGATCCGTTTGAACTTTGAAACGCTCACTTTTCAACAATGATCTCGGAGGTAATGTGATCCTAACTTTCAACACTGTGTTTTATTTCCTTGTCCAAAAAGGCAAACATGTAAAGAGTGCGTTAACAAAATTATTGCACTAACAGGGGCATAATCGTTAATAATTAAAAAACCCAAAATTTAGCAAATATGAAGCATCAGGTGTCGCAGTGAGGACAACGAGGCATTTGAAAAAAAAAAGTAAATGGACCCAAAGGAAATGCTGGACATTATTTTCCAGGTTCGGAAATCACCACCAGGTGGCGTAGAATTTTAAAATCCGTTTCCTGCAAAATATCTTATATTACTGGTAATTAGAGTGAACACTGCTTTAAAGCTGAGGAGGAGATCCTTTTTACTCTGTCTCAAAAAAAAAGTCAATATTTTCAAAATGGATTAATGGATTTTAATACAATTGAATGCTAGATTAGTATATTTGGGATGAATGAGATGATTGAAATTCTCCCGTTATTCTCAAAAAACATAAATGCAACGGTATAATTTCTTTGAGACAGTCAATTAAGACCCCAAAACGGTATCACAATATCTTTATCCTGACCTAACGCAAAGTTTATAAATTATTAACTCTCTCCGAACATTATAAATTTTCAAAGTGCCTTCCGTCATTTTCTATGCAGGAATTTATCCTGCGTCGTGTATTGAATAGAGGACACCGGGGTTGGTGGCGGTGGTGCCAGAAAAATATTTTATTCTGTGCTACATCATTTTCACTGTGAGCCATTGTAGATATTAAAATTATAATAAAGGATGTTTTTCTTTTCTAAAATGTTTTGCACGTATTTTTGTATAACATCTTTCGTTTTTAATTTTTTCAAAAATCAATTATCCTCAACTAATATTTTGTTTCAAACGCTACCAGTGTAGTTACTCTTTTAAATTTAAAGCAAAAAAATATTGTTTTTTTTTCTAATTTTGTTTCAGTTTTAATAATGAGGGTATTATGGATAAGTAGCTAAAAATAGGTACCCAACGCCCACAAGGAATGATAATGATGGGCCGACACCTACTTAACTTAGAAACAGTGTGACACTGTTAAGAAACAAAATTAAGAAAATATAAAGAAGAGTTTATTAAATACGGATTTACATTTTGCATTGTTAATGGGGAAGAACGTCCATTGTGTGTCAATTTCTCGGATCAATTAGCAAATGAACGTTTGCTAAATTAAAAAGACATTTGGAAACGAAACATAAAGAATTTGCAAATAAATCTGACATTTTTTTAAAATGACGTGCTGAAAGTATGAAAAATCAAACTGTATTTTTGAAAACATATACAACAATTTCTGAGAAGGGTCTACGGGCATCCTTAGAAATTTCATATTTAATAGGAAAAAAATTGAGACCACATAACTTTGGAGAATCGCTCATTCTTCCTTCAGCAATTAAAATGACATCAATACCAATATCAAGAGATACCGTTTCTCGGCGTATTTTAGTCATATCACGAAATTACAGATATTACTAAAATGTCTCAAATTAATTGTTTATGTGAGATAAGTTTTTGAAGAAGATGTATCAGAAGATTTTTTTATGTTGTAAAGGGTTAGTCGCCCTTTGTACAGATGGCGCTGCAGCATTTATAGGTTGTAAGAAAGGACTTAAAGGGTTAATAATAAAAATTGCTCCTCATGTAGTATTCAACAAATTCTGAGTATGAGACGTTATTACTACATACTGAAGTCAGATGGCTCTCTCGCGGCAAAATATTGCGACGTCTTTTTGATTTGAGAAACGAAGTTTACAATGTTTTGGTAGAGACGAAACATATATTGGCACATTCATTCATTAATGAAGAGTGGAGTAGATGTATAGTGCCGATATAAGCAACAGAAACCGTACATAACCTCAATTTCCTAACCCCCCCGCAGCGGGGGCCCCCCGCGCGAGGCGTCCTAGTGTCCCCCCTGTCTCCCAGAGTGCGCTCCGCCCCCCACCCAGCTTGTGTAGCGTCCTGTTTTGCCCCGGTTCCGCCCGTCGCTGCTAGATGTCGCGCGCTTGTGTAGCGTCCTGTTTTGCCCCGGTTCCGCCCGTCGCTGCTAGATGTCGCGCGCTCCGACCGTCGTAGGCCCCCCCGGTAGAGGGCGGTGACGGTGCGGCACGGAGACGGTGTGGCGCGGTGACGCGGGTGATCGGGTCGTCGGTAAACAAGTCGAGTGACTTATACAGAGTGTCTCAATAATCACGGTTTAATAAAAGAAAAACTATAGATACAATAGTAAATATTTATTAGCTCATATGTAGACAACGTAATGCTTCGTACAAGCGGTGTTTCTGGTCCATGAGATTTTCTACTTCATCGCGGTCGAGGATAATTTCGTCGCCATGATCCCGTTTCAGTATCAACTCACAGCTCTCTTCTTCGTTCGAATAGGTCACCTCGATACTGCTCCCGATGTAGACTGTTATGTCGTTCCAGAACATGATTTCTCCCACCTCGTCCTCCAGAAAGAACAAAAAATCCCAAAAATCCTGGACTTGAAAATCTATGTGCTTGTTCTTGAAGATGAAACGGACACCTGAATTCTTTATTTCGAAAATCGTGTTTTCATCGATAGTGACCACTTTGTTACACATTGTGACAAACAGACTGACTTCGGTATCAAATTCAAATGTACTTATATATCAACAACCCCCCACTATCGGTGTAATTAAGAGAGATATTTACATTTAGTCAATTTGAATAAGCATTTTGCCAAAAGAAGCAAACAAGCGCACGTAGTTACATATAGCGGGATTAAAATAGTTTTTCGATCTGCCGAGATGTTGTATTCGTTACCGCAATTGTCGTTAACGCCGCCGCTGGTGTTATTGGAATTCTTGATAGCGATCGTTTGCCATTCGCCGTGGTCTTCGTAGCTCCGGTTCGCAAAAACGAAACGTACCTTGTAATTTAAATACGGCTTATCTGCGGTAGTGTTATTCGACAATGTCACGCTAAAAGTTTGTAGCTTGTCGATTCCGTTGACCTGAGCGAGTTGCATACGCGTCCACGTATCGGGCCAAATGCACCGATTATTATGATTTTTGAAACAAACGAACGCTTCAATCACATCCTTAGGTTTATGTATATAGAAAACGTTTTGTACCACAGCCGACAACAAAACAAAGTGAGCACTTAACAAAACCATGTTTCTAGCCCGAATGAATCTATCCTAGATCTCGGTAACTGCTTTTATAACACTCAAACAATAATGACATTTATTCTGGGGAGGTGCCGGGCCGTCGATATGCATTTTGCTGTCCGGTCTGTTATAGTGAACAAAGCAGGGCAAATGAGTTTGCAATTCAAAATTGTTGCGATGTCGTACTGGTAACTTATGCCACATATTTAACAAATCGTGCGGTCTCACATGCTCCAAGAAATGTTGCACAGGAATCAATTCAAGTTGATCGGTATCCAAGCTTCTAAAATCGTCGAAGAAAACTAACTTCTTATTCATTGTTGTGAAAGATCGATAACTTTCTTAACAAATCCCTAATTTGTTTAAAGACACTCTCTGTGGGACAATTAATTGCGACAAGACTCAAGTCTATTTCACCGACTCTCGTTAATTTATTCAAAAATTCGTTGTATTCGTAATACGTTTTCTCTTTGAAAAAATACAAATGTCCGTTGGTGTATCGAAACGCGCCCGACAAATCGTCGGGCAGACCCGGAAACAGTTCCGTAGTAAAACCGTGTTCACTCGCACTCAAAGAACACTCGTCTATTTCTGCATAGTAGCGTTTACCGTAAAATATATACGTTCGACCGCCATACGTATTAAAAATAGCGTTCACTGTTTTACCCGCAGGCACACCCAGTCGCTGGACGCTTTGTCGGTCGCCCACTACCGTGAAACTCGGGAAGTGAAGTAAATAAAACGAATCACCGGTGACTACCAAAAGTTGTCCGTTGGGTCTCTGGTAGATATGCGAAATAGGAGCGTAAATAGGGACATAATCTGATATCATTTTAGGTTCCATGTAGACTTTATCACCTAATCTTATTATCCAAACCCATTTGTCGTAAAATAGATACATATGATGGTTAGACGTAACCAAAAATATGGATGGATTTACGTGACACAAATCTGGTACTTTTGTTTCGTTTTTCCCTATCGGAGGTTTCGTAGTTGTGGTAGTAGTGGTAGTTGATGTTGTTGTGGTCGGAGTTGTTACGCGGGCGGTGGTTGTGGTTTTTTTACCATATAAACGTTGAAGACCTGCAACATCGTCGTATGACAATGTCTTAGAATTTAAGCTATACCAAGGGTACATAATGGCATTGCGATCGTTACTGTGCGCCAAACCCAACGTATGTCCAATTTCGTGGAACAACACAGTAAACAAGCTCGTTTTTCCTCCGGGCGCAGGCACTTCTAAACCGTAGTACCAATCTTCGGATTTATCCAAATGAACTTCCACGCACTCTTGTTGTTGATTTGGAAAAAATGCATGTCCTAATATGTTACCCCTTCCGTCAAAAGCAAAAGGACAGGATTCGTTCCCTTTACATCTTATGCTTTGTCTGTGGGTAGTATATTTGTCAGACATCAAAATCATTATATCCGGCTCTGAGTAATTTAAGAAAAAATTTAAATTTGATTCATCACTCCATATTTTAAAAACCTCGGTTGCCAGCACTTTTAACTCTTGATAGTGACTGGGCGGTACTTGAATATACCAATTTAAATCCGTTTTCTGCCATCGCGAAACAGTCGTGAAGGCATTTTCTATTACACCACATCGGGGTTTATTTATTAGTTCGACGGTTTCGTTATTAAGAGTACCATCCACCGGTAAATTATAGAAATCCTGAAAATCCATTAGGGCACGTTGCAAACTCGACGCATTGATCTGCGTTAAAGATTCGTTGTCGTTAGGTGAAAGGAATCCGAATTTTTGT